TTTCATTATTAACTACTAACCGACACCAACCAATTCAGTGCTTCACCACTCACTCACACCATTGAGGCTAAATGACGAGGCAGGAGTCATCTTTGCCGCATTTTGTGTGCTCTAAAAAGGGTATACTTTGACAATCCTTGGTTCCACACCGGTGATTCCTTCTGTCACCTCCGTTTAATAAGGGTGAACTCGACCAGAAATGACCGCAAAAAGTAGTGGGCTAAAATTATAACGCTTGTAAACCACCACAGCATTTGGAAAGGTAATGCTAGGCGCTCTGAACCGAGTTACTTTGTTTGCGATGTCAAATCGGCCGAAGCCGAGGGTTGGAATGAACGCATGAGGCAAATCGACGTTGTTGCGGAGGTTTCCTCTCTGGTGATTTTAAGGTGTGCGTGACTCTCGCCGGAGGTTGATGCGCTTATTGGATATTCACACTTTGTCATATTTTTAAACTTTGCCATGACTAGCAGTTACCGACGGCCGTCTGATTTTTTTACTTCGCCGCAGCGTTAGAGTCCGTAAATCTTGAGTTTCGTTGACGGATGAGGGGACAGTTCCAAATACCCCCAGTGAAGCTGCTGAAGATTGGACAGCAAAGGATGGCGTTCGCAGGTTTTCACAATCCTAAGAAGGTGTTCGTGGATCCCTCACGATATGTTTATTTCCAAAAAACGGCCAGTTACCTGCGTGAATAGTAATCAAAAAGTTGAGGTGTTCGACCATCGTTGCCTTAGGATCACCATACAAGTGAAGTGCACAGACTTCATCTCAAGTGAGATGGTCCGCACTCGCTGCAACATCGGGCCACCTGAGGAAGACGACCCAAGTGGTTGGACACGTTCATCAACATGGGCTTCGTGGTTGCTGTACTGCTGCCCTTGATCTGACCTCGGTGCCCACTTCGAGGCGTCAAAGAGGAGGAGATCGACAGCATTCACCAAAACATGGAGGATGTACTTCGGGCTTGTGCATTCGGTTTCCAACGTCCAAAAAGGTAATGGATCAAGCTTCCAAAATTTACTGTCGCGGATGGTCAGGTGTGGGACCCAGTCTGATCAGCCATGATAACGGCTGCATCAAGTACACTTAAATAAGTACTACTGCTGAATTTACTATGTATTCCGCTAACGATCGACCGACGGAATTCTCTTATATCCTACTTCCTGAGTTCTCGGCGGAAATCGACTCGAGAACCCACCGGATAACTGATTTTCTGACAAACACAATGATGTACAGATTGTGTTCGAGTCCTAATTGCAAACCCGCCACACCTTGTAACAGACGGAAGACTGGACAAGTTGTTTGAGTGACGTGAAGGAAACAGAGAGGCGCGGATTTAGGATGAGGGTTGGTGTGGTGGAGTGCCAGTTAAGACTCCGGTGCCCCCTTCCATTCTCAGTCGCTGACACTCGTCGTTACAGTTGTAAGTGATAAACCCATTAGTTGGGCACAGTAAGTAGGCTATCGGGGAAACGAAGATAAAAGTATTCCAACAGTTACAAACCAGTAAATAGGAACAAAGTCGTCAGCAGGTAAAAATGCACGTGCTAGTTCTTCGTCTTATTCAAAGTTGCGCCAAGTTACTTAGCAAGCGTATTATAATTGATTAAAACAAAACGGACTTAAATGTCACTACAATACTCCCCCTTCCAGGAGAACGGAGTTAGAAAAATTATTGTTAATAGAAGGAAAAGGTGCGAGTGTTATGCACATTGTACAATTTGGTAACGGTCGGGAAAACGTACATGACGACCGCTGCGCGTAAGGGGAGGAGTCTGTGAGATAAGGGAAGACGCAGGGTTATTGGGCGTAAGTGAAGTCTGGGAAATAGCAAGTGACAATGTGCCGACTGGAGGTTGTTCGTTTGGGGAAGTTGAAAGAGGCTCGGTATAAGCCGCCTTCAAGCGAGCGACTGAGATCACGTCGGTGCGGCCTCCAATGTAAGTGCTTAACCCATTAGTTGGGCACAATAAGTAGGCTATCCGGGAAACGAAGATAGAAGTATCCCCAACAATTACAAACTAGTAAATAAGAACTAAGTCGTCAGCAGGTAAAACTGCACGTGCTAGTTCTTTGTCTTATTCAAAGTTGTGCCAACTTACTTAATAAGCGTATTATAACTGATTAAAACAAAACGGACTTAAATGTCACTACACAGTCATCGTCGGATCGGTTCATCTCCGACTAAATTTCAGCATCCCCCACGCCCGCAGTTGCCTCCTGCGCCGCACATCTAAACACTCCCAATCCCAGAGGAGGCTGTGATGCATGTACACTCCTTTACTATTTCACTTGTATCCGTGTTACCCGTTTACACAACTCATGCCTTACAATAGCCTTCTTATGTCTACACTCCGTCTTACTAATATCTCGGCATGCGTGTCCGATCTGTTGCCTGCCAAATCTGCTCAGCGTTATTACGAACGAGGAATCGACAGTAGGTACCTAATATCCGTACGTGCCAACCGCAGCTTCGTCGGTCGCTACAACCTTATTCAAAGTGAAAAACCGTGGAGGGAGGGGAGATGGGAGAAGGTTTGATGCTGTAAATTAAAGACGGCCTACAATAAGATTGCTGCAACGAGGTCGCCCTGACAACACTTTTCATCAACTACAAAGCATCACTACAAATAGACAAACGCAGTGGTTTTCGATACACCCGATTCACACATTTCTTTCCACGCATTTTTAATGAACCGTGTCGATTCGGCTGATGAGTCAATACGCGTCAAGAGACAAGGAGTTCTGTGATTAAAGCTAGCTAAGCGGATGTTATAAATGCTTAAAGGAGATAATACATGGGCTCCTCTCGCTGATATTGAACGTTAACTTTAGAAGAGAACGATTCGCTGTCATCGCTCGTATATATCGCACGTGGTCTGAAGCCCTATATCGATAGTTCCAAATGCCTTGATCACCTTTTTCTCCTCCTGTTCACTTTCTAACCTGTCACTAGCCCATTCCTTTCTCGATTTTTCATTGACGCACTATTCTTTTGATTTCTACTGACCGCTTCGGCGTCTAATCCCAGTATAATTACTCCCGGAACTTCCCTTACATTATTACATTAGTTCTAATCGTGCTAGAATTATTGAACCAACATGAGGACACGAATACAGAACAATGTTAAATAACGCCAATGAACCGAATATCATGAACAAGGAGTCACCCTCAGTAGTATAAAGTGTCCGTGGAGCTGTTTAGGAGTGCAAATAATGTCGTTAAACAGGTCAAATATTTAGTTAATTTCAGTAGCGTAAGTGCGTTTGCTCATCTTCTAAATGTATTATCAGTCCCTGAAATAAAGTGTCCAACTTAAACAGGCCTTCTATTTCGGGGCAGACTTCTATTGGCATTCGGGCTAGATCGCATAAATATTTTGTTGGAAATGCCCAAAATTCCGAACCTACGCCCGACCTACAAAAATAGATCAGATTTGTCCTCTCAAACAATGTTGTTC